ATCGACGGCGAAAGTTACGTTGTACATTTCCAAGCATTAAAGGAGTTATCGCTTCACAAGCTCTTCTTATTCTTTCCATCATATTCAATCTTATCGTTGGAGCTTCACTATACACTACATCTTTAACGTATCCCCATAAAAAGAAATCAAGGGGGTTCAAATCCGGTGATCTCGGAGGCCACAGAACTAGTCCACCCCGCCCTATCCACCGATTGGGAATCTTTGATTCAAAAACATCCGTATAATACGAGCATAATGAGCAGGAGCACCATCTTGTTGATACCATAAATTTAGTCTAACTGCAAGGGGAACATTCTCTAGGTATGCTGGCAAATCATTTTCGAGGAATTCCAAATACATTGGACTATTAATTGTACGTTCAAAAAAATGAGGTCCAATGACTTCGCCATTGCAAATGCCTACCCATACGTGTAAACTCCAACGATGTTGGTTAAGCACCTCAGGATACCAATGTGGATTTTCTGGTGACCAATAGTGGCAATTATGCCTATTGAGACTACCATTGCTGATGAATGTTGCTTCATCACTGAAACAAACATTACTGAAAAAATCGGGATTCTGATCTAAATCTCAACAGCCCATCTCAAGAGCCCATCTACAAAATTGTACTCTGAGTACGTAGTCGGCCTCACTTAATTCCTGTACCAGAGTAATATGATACGGATGGTAATTGACTGATTGTAACAATCTGTGTACCGTAGTTTGAGGGATTCCCACTTCTCGTTCTACTTGACGGGTACTAATATGGGGATTTTGATGAACCATAGCCAAAACTGCGAGCAATCTAGGATCATTATTATTATGAAGTCTATTCCTTCGCCTTTCGCGATGAAGTGGATTATTATGAGATTTCCTTTCAATGTTCATAATTTGTTGAGCAGTAGGATGGCGGCGATTTGGGAATCCCTCCGCATAAGTCTGTAATTTCTATCACATTCACCAAAGGTTATAAGAATATCGACTACTTCTGTAGGCGTATAATTTGCCATTTTACTGACCAGAATTTTATCAGATTACAAATGTTAAAAAAAATACA